TGAATAATCACCAACAACGAAAGATTTGGGATCCCAAAGGGAGTCAGAAACATGTCTATCCTCTGTACTTGCTCTAAAATCCACCTATAATTCTGGTTGGTATATTGATAGTGGATCTTCTAGACACATAAAAGGAACTAAATCTAACTTGATTAATATATTTCCTTTGAATTGTGGTTCAGTAACTTTTGGCGATGGTGCAAGGAATAAGGTCATAGGTATTAGATGTTTGATTAAATTACAGTTTTAAGATGTTTTCGCTTATTGGTAGAATTTATCTTTCTGTAATTAATAGTTTGTAGAAAAATAATTAATAATTATTAAATAATATAAAATTATTTATTGTTATTATAGACTCGTTCATCGCACGTGTATGCGTACTAGTGAGTTGAATAACATAATAATTTTGTTCCATTGACGTATTTTGTATGCTAAATGAATAAGACATGAGTAGGATGATATTTTCATTTCATATTGTAAATAAATTATCGACAAATAATTTCAATATTTATATTAATGTTATTTTCTATTTACGTTAATATTAATATTTTTTTTAATGAAGTATACTATATTTCCAGTAAATATTTTTTATGGTGTTGCATTCATCTTATATAATAAATAAGCTAACTATTTATTTATACATACTAATTTAATATAAACATATCACTAACCATATAAGCATACATTTTATTACATATTATAATCTTGAGCCGAGTTGCTCGAAATTTCTACTTCTTCTTGGCTATGATCCACCGGTGGATCCACTGTCCTCGAGCCCTGCGGCTGTGCCAATCGGGCCATCACGGCCTCAGCTATCATAGAATCCAACTCTTCCTTTGTAACCCTTAGGATATACTTCTACCACTGTTTCTTTATTGGTCTCCACCAAGGGCCCTAGAATACTTACTTACGATGGGAATTAGTTTGTTGCATCAGGACTCGGGTATCAAAGAGGTGTTTCGAGGACTACTCATTTGGACGATTGCTTGATTTTCAGTTGCACTAATGGGTGGATTGTTCCCCACGATGGGGCAAGTTGGGTGTTGGGGTGATCGGAGATGGGCCTGATTTTGGAGATCCCGGTGGTGGTCCTATTCCCAAAGTACGATTTACCACCCAAGCCTTTGTGATTATCCACCAGATTATTCCTCATAGTCACGTCGTTTGCCATCTTTGTGTACTACAACTCATTGAACAAAACTGCCACAGACGATGTTAATTTGATGTGTTCTACACCCTTAGTTAAGCTCGATGCTCTCGAATTGTTACGATTACCTGCAAAGAAAGAGTTGAGAGGGCTCTTTGGGTATGACATCCGACACTGAAGTCAGTTCCTCTCAAAGAGTTGTTTTGTGGATCAATGTCTTATATAGATTTTCATATGTGTTGATAGATACTTATAATACAAGAACTTTCCTCGTTGTGTGGGTAACTTGATCATTATGAATCTTTCTATTTTAGGCGAAGATCTTTCGAGAATCCTCCTCCTCCAAGCATACACATTTCCTTATTCTTTCAAGTACAACATGACTTACCTTATCTACTTTAAATTGATGATCCTTATTCTCCCTTCACATATTGACACCGACTTAGACTATGGTCAGACCACACACAACCCTCAAACCAACCTGATTAACCTGCTCGAGCATGATCAGGTCATCCAAGTACATTAAGTCGACTTATCCATTAACTTTGTACCGACCACTTAACTAACTCGCCGTAGGTCATAAATCCTTTATGGACGAACCTGGTCCAACCGAGCTGAGTAGAAGGGATTTAGTCAACCATATTAGATCGTAAAAAAAAGCCATGTCTAGTTTAAATTCGAAGAACGCTACTATCAAACTAAAAATGGTGAATTTACATTGCCTGACAAAATATGGCTACAAAGATATGGAATTTCTTATTAAAATGTTATTAATAAAATAACATAAAACGACTACTTAACATATTTTTACACAGACATATTTCACTCTAGTAACATACTTTTTGCATAAAATTGAAGCAGCTTTTGCAGTTAGACGGCCTAATAATAGGTGGATGGATCCGCCATATTTTTTTTAACAAAATTCAACACTAGCATACTTTAATTTACATTATTTTTTACTTAAGTCATTTGATATTTCCAAAAAAGTATGACTGTGCTTCCTAACAACTGTTATCATCCGGATCGGTAAACCTACATTAAGAGATTCCAAATGCCACATTAAGAGGAAGATAATCATTGAACCGACGTGATTTTAAACACCACCCCGGTTCAGGCGACGAACCAGACCGAACTACCGAAGACCGAAGTGGTCAGCATCTACCGAGGTCAACATAAACCGAGATCGTCACCTCCTTAAGCAGGTGACAAGGTGCCTACGTACAACCATCCTGCTCCACAAAATCCGTCATCATTTATGTGGGACCCCCTGCCTCAAACCGCCCACAAAAAGTCACTTTATTCAAAAAGTAGTGCACAGATCCCAATGTATCAACCCGAAATTACTATAAATAGCGGACCCATGATATTTGTACGGGGATCTCTTTCTCCGAACTGAAAAAACTTTATTAAGAAACACGTAAAAGCCCATCACGGCTCTTCACCTCGGTTCACCTCGGACCGGGGCCATTGTTGAGTAAATCTTACATGCTTTACGTCCAAATCATTCATAACTCTCATCTTAATAACATATTAGATCGTTGTTAAAAATCACATAACAACAGTTTGGCGCTAGAGGAAGGGCCTCATAAGTGAT